CACCCAAAGCCCCAGTACATAGTTGTATGTCATAGTTGCACATCCTTCTAGTTGCTGTATGTGGGACACGGCCTCAGCATGGCCGGAGAAGCGGTACGTTGGTGCGCACCCGGGATGCGAACCCGGGCCGCCAGTAGCGGAGCGTGCGCACTAAGCCACGGGCCGGCCCTATACTATTCTTATTGTTATCTCAACAGCTGCTTTTACTTCTAAACCAGGATCCACCCTTCCCCTCTTTCAAAGCACAGCTCAGAGCCACCTCCTGTAGAAAAACTTCCCAATCTTGCAGAAGGAAATGATAAACTTCCAGATAGGCCATTACACCACTCCCTCAGGTTGCCCCAGTCAGTATGTGTTTAAACCTCTAGCCTAGCACACAGTAATGGGCACTTTTGTAGGCGCGTCACCATTTATAAAGCACTTTCACTTACATTATCATTCTTAAAATGTTTTCACAAATATGATATATTAAGCTTTTCTTTTAATGAAGAAATTAAGGATAAATGACTTCACCAAGGCGACTAAGTGATAAAAAAGAGGGAAGGAGTCACAGCTCTGGGTTCGCCACTTATTAGTACTTACCTCACAAGGTAGTTGCAAGGATTATATTAGACAATGTGCGGCGGTAGCTCTTATAAAAATGGAGTCAGATCTTGGCTCCACTACCTCTTCCTCAAGAAAGTCTTCTTTAAAAAATCTGTAACTGGGGCCGGCTAGGTGGTGTAGCGGTTAAGTACGCGCTCCGCTGTGGCTGTCCAGGGTTCGGATCCTGGGTGCGCACTAACACACCACTTGTCAAGCCATGCTGTACCAGTGTCCCATATAAAAGTGGAGGAAGATGGGCACAGGTGTTAGCCCAGGGCCAGTCTTCCTTAGCAAACAAAAAGAGGAGGATTGGCATGGATGTTAGCTGAGGACTGATCTTCCTCTCACACACACAAAAAAAATTGCAACTATCTACTGTGATGGATGTTAACTAGACTTATTATGGTGATTATTTCACAATATATGCAAATATTGAATCATTATGTTGTCCACCTGAAACTGTTATGTTATATTGTCAAATATATCTCATTAAAAAAAGAATATTAAAAATCACATTTTACAACTGCGTTGGCATAAAGATTAATATATTCATTTTTTTTTTTTTAAAAAGCCTTCTTTGACAGCTTACTCTAGATCAAGTTCCATTATATGCTCACAAACAACACATAGTTCCCTTCCCAGCTGTAGTATTACAGTGACGAGTGTGACTATTTGATTACTGTCTTCTCTTTCTAGACTGGGAGCTCTGTCAGAATAGTGATATGTGTTTTGCTCGCCACAGAATCCCCAGCGCCTAATATGGTGCTTGTCACATATAAGCGCTTCAATTTTGTTGGATAAATGAGAACTGAATCCCAAATTTTGACTCACTCTAGATTTGACTCTTAGGCTGGGAAAAATATGTTACACTGACGCGGGGGAAGATAGAATGAGGTAACGTGGATGTTACTCCTCCGACATAAAAGGACAAATTTCAAAGCTGCGGGGAGGTCGTGGGAACTGTTCAGAACGGTTCAGCCCTAAAGGACACGACTTCCACTGAGAACGTAACCACCACCGAGGAGGCACACGCAGAACGACCGTTCTCGCTCAAAAGACCCGGGACGGAGTTTCGACCCTCTCTTCCGTACGACGACCCAAGATGGCGGGGCCCGTGGCTGAAAACCAGATTCAAGATGGCGGCTTCCGGCTTCCCCCGCAGCGTCGCGCGTGGCCGCCGAGGCCACGCCCACTTCCGGCTCCTGGGCCTCAGCATGGCTGCCTTGGGTACTCTGCTGCCGAGTAAGTGGGGGTAGGGTCGCTGGGCTCGGGAGCCCGCGGGGGCGGGCCCGGGACCCCTGAGCTGGCTGCGCGGCCTCTCTCTCCACTCTGCCGTGTTTTCCCAGCAGGTGTCCGGAGGCTGCACTGCAGCGTGGTGGCTCGGGCGGGCAGCCAGTGGCGACTCCAGTGAGTGCCGGTCTGGGGTGAGCTGGGGGCCCAGAAGCTGGGCTGAGTCCTCACCGGATTGTTTTTCTCCACCCAGGCAGGGCCTGGCTGCCAACCCCTCCGGCTACGGGCCGCTGACGGAGCTCCCAGACTGGTCGTACGCTGGTGAGCGCTGATCTCACAGTTAACTGTACTTAGAAGATTTTCACCCAGAGGAACGCCCCTGGATGGAGTCGGGGGGTGTGTCCGAGTGGATAATGTATTGAACTTTATATTTGGAGTTGAGAGGAGGAAGTCCTATTGTTTATTTTGTAAATTAAACTACGCCTATGGAAAGTAAGGCTAGACAGGATCTTTTTGGCTTGTGGGGATAAGCAGAAGATAGTTCTGACTTGGGGTGCCCCAGGGGAGGGAGCGACAAGACTTTTACGTTTCTCAAAGGGGGAGTTTGTTTCTAAAAAGTTAGAAAGAACCGCCCTTCTGGGTGATGAGTACATTGTTGAGAATTTGGTACCAAATGCAGGGAAAACTCTTTGAAAGGCTGCCTAAATGAGCATCTCAGAGAGGGAGTGGAAGGGTGAGGATTGAGGATGGTGGGCTCCCTTCAGAAGTCTCTTCCCGTAACTTTAAAAAAAGAGAGAGAGAGAGAAAGAAAAGAAATATTAGACCTACGGGCCGCCTCCGTGGCTTAGCGGTTAAGTGCGCGCGCTCTGATGCTGGCGGCCCGGGTTCGGATCCCAGGCACGCCCCAAGGCACCACTTCTCCGTCCAACGCGAGGCCGAGTCCCACGTACAGCAACTAGAAGGATGTGAACCTATGACATACAACTATCTACTGGGGCTTTGGGGGGAAAAATGAATAAATAAAATCTTAAAAAAAAAAAAAAAAAAAAAAAAATTAAAAAAAAAAAAAAAAAAAAAAAGAAATATTAGACCTAGAAGGCAAGGACCTTAGAAAAGTTGAACACTGCCCACTCCCCATGTGGAAGTCCAGTTTACAGCTGGGAAAATTGAGGCCTACAGAAATGAATTGCCTGTGATGATGCAGCTAGATAATAGCAAAGACAGGACTAGAACTGGGCAGAGGCCAGGCCCCTTCAACAGCACAAACACCTGAGTATTAATCCCCTATTGAATTCTATAGGAGTATGATCCTGCTTAATCAGATATCTGGTGGCTGAGGAGGATGGTGAAGATTTTTTCTACTTGTTACTTATTCTAGGAAGCCTAGGATCTCCTTGAAGTAGTACGGCATATTGGGAAGACTCTAAAATTGATTTTTTTGTGTGTGAGGAATATCAGCCCTGAGCTAACATCCATGCTAATCCTCCTCTTTTTGCCGAGGAACACCGGCTCTGAGCTAACATCTATTGCCAATCCTCCTCCTTTTCTTCCCCAAAGCCCCAGTAGATAGCTGTAGTAGTTAGCTGTATGTCATAGTTGCACATCCCACTAGTTGCCGTATGTGGGACGCGGCCTCAGCATGGCCGGAGAAGCAGTGCGTCGGTGCATGCCTGGGATCCGAACCCCGGGCCGCCAGTAGTGGAGCGTGTGCACTTAACCGCTAAGCCACGGGGCTGGCCGGTAAAATTGATTCTTAATCCAGGCTTCTCTGCTTGCTAACTTTGTGGTCTTGGACAAGTTACTTGATTGTATCTCTCAGTTTCCAAATCTGTAAAAGAATAATACCTAGCTCTTATGGTTCTTGTAAGGATAAAATGAAACAACCAATGTAAAGCACCTTGCATACACAATATTGGTTCCCTTTTCTGATAAATAATATTTATCTGTCTTGCCTTTGAACTTTTGGGCAGAGTTTCCACTCTGCTTGCTTCTTTCTTTGTAGAAAGTAAGTGTCCTGTCTCTTCATCTCCTTTATAAACTACTTGAGGGCACATACTGCATCTTTTCAGCAAGTCACCTATTTATGAAGTTTTTATTATGTGCTTATATGCTTACACTACAGTGAAAACTAGCGATACAGTCCCTGATCCCAAGGAACTTAAAGTCTAGCTGGGAAAACAAAGCATGGACATTTAAAAAATCAAATAGTAACACTTCAGTGCTCTGCCCCTTTCCAAAAGGATTTGAGACAGCTAAATAAGGCTAAAAAGAATAGTATAATAAATGTCCCAAGACAAATAGATGAATATGAAATTATTGATATGTACTTCTTTCAGAGAAGATTGCTGACAGAGTGGAAGAGCTTACAGGAGAGTTTCTGGGACAGGTAGGGCTTGAGGTGGACCTAAGGATGAAAATTTGGCTTGAAGGAAAGGAAAAGGTGTTTCATTATGGAGTGAGATGGAATTTAGCAAAGACTCAAGGTGAGTAGAACAGAGATGAGATTGCTAGAGTGGAGGATTTCTGAAGATAAAACAGGATATTCAGCATTGCAAAGGACCTTGAATTCCAGGCTAATGAGGGGTAAGTGGAATAGAATAGGTATATGCCTAGGAGCTTATTCTTCATGGTTCTGACACACCTCACCCTTGACGATGAGGGACTTGTTTTAGGAGAATTTAAGCTACAGTGGGTGTGAAATGGAAGAGAGGAGCTAGAGATTGGTTCTTCCCCCATTCCTATCACAGTGCTTTCTTTTTGTTGTTATTGTTGTTGTGAGGAAGATCAGCCCTGAGCTAACATCCATGCCAATCCTCCTCTTTTTTTTTCTTTTTTTGAGGAAGATTGGCCCTGAGCTAACATCCGTGCTGATCTTCCTCCACTTTACGTGGGACACCGCCACAGCATGGCCTGACAGGCGGTGCGTAGGTGCGCGCCCAAGATCCGAACCCGGGATCCGAACCTGGGCCTCCAGCAGCGGAGTGCATGCGCTTAACCGCTAAGCCACAGGGCTGGCCCCCCCATCACAGTGCTTTCACAAAGTGCTGCAGGCCATCCCTAACCCTTGCTTTCTCTCTCACTTCTATCTGCAGATGGCCGCCCTGCTCCTCCAATGAAAGGCCAGCTTCGAAGACAAGCCCAAAGGGAAAAGTTTGCGGTGAGTGGCTAGAGCCCCAGCCAGGGCAACCTGTGTGTAATTGGAGGGAGAAAGTTTAAATTGGAATTTGTCTTGAGCTGTGTTGGCACCTAAGTTAACATGTACCCCTCACACCTAGGTTTTAACAGTACTGTGAGAAGGGAGGAAAAGAGTAGGGCACTCCTAGGGCAGGAACCAGTTGTAGATATTCTGCCACACATTTTGCTGCCTTCCTTCTGCTTCCCAACCTAGGACCTGGTCCCACCCCTTCCCCAGTCAGCAGTGTCATTTTCCAGCTGAAACCTCTGACTTTGATCTGTGAGTAAAAGGATATATGGTGCAGATCTCAAGCCCCAGATGTTATCCACAGTGTTTTCCTGTCTGTTTCAGAGACGAGTTGTACTGCTGTCACAGGAAATGGATGCTGGATTACAGGCATGGCAGCTCAGGCAGCAGGAGAAGTTGCAGGAAGAAGAAAGGAAGCAGAAAAATGCTCTTAAACCTAAAGGGGCTGCACTGCAGAGCCCTCGATCAAGTCAATAAAAAGCAACTCCTGTCTCCCTTCCCCAGCCTCTCTCTGGCTTTCTTTTCTATCACCTAGATGCCTCATCCCAGCCAGAAGAGAGCCTTTATGTTCCCCATCTGTCTTCAGAGCAGAAGAGCTTGGACGGCAGGAAGAACAGGCTGTAAGATCACTGTGCACAAGGGTTGGCTCCATGCCCTCATCCCTGGCTCCATTCCAGTTTGGTGGAATCTTGCTCTGGGATATTTAGTTCATCCTTTGCAGGCCATGGGACTGGCCCAACTAGGAGCAGTAGCTGCTCTGCGAACATGAAACGGGGGAAGCAGTTTTCCCGGTTTTAGCCAGGCATTCAAGCCTTGAATAGCCTATACACAGCTCAGGCCGCGTGCAGTTATGCATTTAATAAATGTTCTGATGAAAAAGGCTTTCCAGCTGAGGTCCATTTCTTGGCAAGCAACTGGTGTCAGTTTTTCTAAACCAGATACATGGCCCAAGAGGATATTCCCACTGGGAAGGCTGACATGGGAAGACCCAGACTTGGATATTGCACATTGTGCTAAAGAGTTGGATCCTGAGGTTTCCATGGTTCTGACTGAATTCCAGAGGTTGGTTGGAGAGAGCCGACCCCAATTTGTGTAGGGGAGCCCTGGAGGTGCTCAGCCCCCGGTCACTGTGAGATAGGTATCTAATATCTACCATATACCTCCCACAAAACAGTTAGCTGCCCAGGCCCCAGGGAAACCTTTCATTTTATTGATCATGGCTCCTCCCACAGATTCTGGGGGGAAAGGACCTTTGCTCCCATTACAATACAGAGCACTGGACTTTTCTTCTATTCTCCAGCCACAAACATTTGTTAGTGCCCAGATCTCTAGGATGTCTGGAGCTGCCTACCTGAACTAATTCTGTCCAGCCTCCTTTACTCATTCCCTTGCTTTCTTTCCCTCCCTTCTTCCCCCCACTGCCTCCTTCCTGTCCCGCTGACCAATGCAATTCTTGGATCTTAGATTTCGCTGATGGTTGAGTTTTCTGTCTCCCACACTTTTCCTGCTTCTGTTGTGCTGCTTTTCCAGATCTAGTTCTCAACCTCTTATCTGTCTCCCTTTCCCACCATGTCAGCCTGCGCTTGCCCTCCCGCTGCCTGCATACCTCCACCTTTTGTTCTCAGAATCTAGTCAGGCCCTGAAGAAGGAGACTTCACTCTTTAAGGAATTGCCTCCTTTTCCAGCTTAGAGAAGGAACTAAACCCGAAAGTCCTAACTCCCAGTCTCTCTTTTCTAACAATTTCACCAAACTTGATTTGCTTTTCTCCAGATTCCATGGCCTTGAACCCTTTTCCTCCCCAGTTACTTCTCATTTAAGGAGCAGCCAGATTGCAAATGACAATAATAAAGGGAGCGCATTTGTCTTCCTACAAGGACGGGAGCCCCAGATCCAGCATGGTTATGGGGTTTGTTGGTGGGTAGCTGGCTTTTGTTACTGTGTTTTTTTGGCAGGGGAAGGATGGAGGTGGTTGTCAAGAATAAGGGACAAAAGTTTCAATTTGGTTGAGCCACAAGTACCAGCAGGCACCCCCCCACCAACCCAAGTCTCATGAACATAGAAGACTCATCACTACCATCCCAAACTCAACTCCTTGTTCACCCCAACCACTGAGCCTCCCAGTACTTCCCACTCTGAGGTGAGACAAACGCTGAATACCAGAGGAATCAAGCCACCCAAAATATGCTTAGGGGGAGAAAGTCTCCCACATCCCATCCCCTGGGTCCCCCGAGAGCCCCCCGCTCTTGGCTGTGGCCTCAACCCCTGCAGATGGCAGCCTGCACCACAGAAAGACAACTTAGGGGTTTTTTTACCCGGCTCTTGGCTGTAATTGGATTCAGGCTGAAACAACCACGTCCGCACCGGGAAAGGAGGGCATTGGGGCGGGGGCGGAGGAGAGGCTGTGGGAGAAGGGAGGGACCAAAGGAGAGCGAGAGAGGGCTCGCGATCCAGTTCGCCGACTAAGCAGAAGAAAGATCAAAAAACGGAAAAGAGGGGACGAGCAAACAGGCGCTTTCAAGAACAAGCCCCTCATCTCCAAGCGGACAGCGCTCTAGGAATCCAAATTCAGTGCCTACCGAAGACAAAGGCGCCCCGAGGGAGTGGCGGCGCGACCCCAGGGCCCCGCCGCGGAGCCCACACGGCCCGGCTGCCCGGACGGTCGCGGACCATGTCTCCCGCGCCACGACCCGCCTGCAGTCTGCTGCTCCCCCTGTTCACGCTCGCCACCGCGCTCGCCTCCCTCAGCTCGGCCCAGAGCAACTTCAGCCCCGAAGTAAGTGAGCACCCCCGGTCCTGCCCGGAGCCGCGCCCGCCGCGCAGGCGAGCCCGGGGGTCCCCAAGGGGACAGCCCCCATTCGGACGGAGAGGTGGGCTCTCGGAGTCTCGGCTGCTCCGGCCTGCAGGATCCCCCTTCCTTTCCTTTCCTCCCTCATCTCCAAACTTCGAGAGTCGATCCAACGTTTGCCTCCTCCAACCAACCCCCCACCCGCCGCCAACTTTCTTTCCCATTCCTAAAGTTTCCTTCCTAAAGGAAGAACTTTACAGTTAGGGCCCCCTCCCAGCCTTCCCAATTCCCCTGGGCTCTGAGCTCAGCTCGGGAACCGGTCGGGAGCCTGATAAATATTTGGACTCCGCTCAGACCCCGCGCTGTCCCAGTTCCTTGTCATGTGCGAGTTTGTTGTTTCCCCAACTTTCCAGCTCTCCAGCGCTCTCCGCCCGCGCACGCCGGCGCTCGGGCGCCCGGGGAGGGCTGTGGGACGGCGCCCGCTCCAGGCCCCCTACGCTGGGGCGCCGCTGCCCGCCTCTCCCCGGTGCGGGCCCCCGCGGACGCAGCCGCAGCCAGGCGGGGTCGGGGTGGACGGCGGAGCTGCCCCGGCCCCCATGCGACCCCGCCTCCCCGAGAGGAGCCCTCCGTGTCCCGGCCCGGGGCCCTGGCATCGAGGGTCGCGGCGCTGCCGCCCTGGCCCCGGTGCAGTACACAAAGCTCTCCTTGTGAGCGGGGGCTCGGCCGGGCCTCCTCGTCCTCACCCTGCCCCACCCCCCTGTCGGCGCCTTTAGGCCCTTTTTGTTGTTTTGGTTAATTGTTTTACCATGTTAATTGCAGGGAGACTGGGGGTGACCCACCGGGAGTCGTGGGGATAGGGCCTGGCCGTGTCTCCACTGCCTCCAGCTCTCCCCCCACCCATTCCTCGACGCTGGCCCACCGGGCCTGGAGGAAGCCGCGTGGGAGTTGTCTAAAGAGGTTTTTCCTCTCTCTCTCTCTTTTATTTTGGGGTGAAGGTGGGAGACGGATTTGATCAACTTCTTATTTTGGGCCATCCCAACCCACTCAGCCCGGCAAGGGCCTGGGTGCGGTCGGGAGGGGCCGGGAAGGGCCCGAGGAGAAGGGGGAGGGGATCTGGACTTGGCTTCCTCCGTCCTGGTCCTGGCCCTGGTCCCACCCCCAGAGGAAACATCTCCAGAAAGAACACACTCTCTCTGTCCTGAAGGGATCTGAGGCTGAAAGGAAAAGTGTGGCCCTAGGAATGGGGATGACCAGGGAGAGTGAAAATCTGCCCTGGGGCTAAGCCTGACAAGGTCCAGGAGGAGGAGGCATCCTCTTTCCAGGCCTGGAGTCTTCATCTGAGGCCTGAAAGGAGAGCTCCTAACAAAAGGAGCCCGGGCATCTGGGGGGCTGCCCACTGCCAACTTTGCCTGCCCTGCCATCCTTCCCTCCCCTGTCCCACTAGGCCCCCTAGGGGAGGGGCGGCAGCCCTGGCTCTGTTTTAAGTGGGTCATGGGTAGTCCCAGTGCCAGAACCACCATTTGCTTCTGGGCCATGGAGGGGTAGGAGGCAGAAGGAGGGAGGAGCAGGCCCAGAGGCTCTGATCCAGGGCCTGCTGGAGAGCCAGAGATCCCCCGACTCTCTCCAGGACTCCTAGGCCGGAGGTGGGAAGGGTTCCCTTGACTTTCCCCTAGGGGAATACCTTACACCACTCAGTTTTCAAGACAAAGCCAGCAGACTGAGCTCTTTGACCCAAGATAGTTGCTCCCTCTCCAGGCCAATCTGGAGGGAGAGCTGGAGTGGCCCAGGCCTCAGGCAGCTGGGTCCCTCCCAGCAGGCCTCCACAGTCCTGCACCAGCTCCAGGACAGCCCTCTGGTCAGTCCCCTTGGCCTGTCTGGCACTTGGCCCTTCCCCCACCCAGCCGCAGACACAAGAGTCCTCTCTTCTGTGGTTCCGACCTCATAGTCTTCTCTGTGGTTCTTGCCTTGCTCAGAGCCTGCCTCTGTGAGGGAAGAAAGCCTAGGCCTGGGAGGAGGAGAAGGACAAGGGCACTTCCTTCCCAGGCCTTGTGGCTCTCTTGACTCCACGGAAGTCCCTTTCTTGACTAAGTCTCCACTTTTCTCTATTGGGTGTGGAGCAGAGGTTGTAGATGTGAATATTTAGACCTGCCTATCTTCTTGAAAGACTCATCAGGGAGAGGGATTTATCCCAGAGCTCCTGGATGTGGATTCTCCCCACCTGTCTGCCACCCTCCCTTCTGCCATCCTGCCCTAGGAGAATTCTCCTTAGCTTTGCTCCCTGAGGGTTGAGAGGGCCTGACCTCAGTCCTCCTGACTTCTAGCTCCAGCAGTAGGCCGCTTCATCTTCCCCAAAGCTGAACCCCTACCAGGGGTTATAAGCCTGGAGTGTGTCTACCCTACAGGTGAGGCTAGGGGCAAAGGGAGTTTCCTGCATGCTTGGGCACAGGCCACAGCAGGCCTCCCGTGGGCACTGGCTGTGGCATCAGCCAGCGCAGGTCAGGGCAAGCCTACAGCTCCCAGAGAGAGCAGCCCAGGCCAGGAGCACCCTGCTGCTCTGCTCCCCTCTAGTATACCAGAGGTTAAACTGAGCTCTCTCCTCTATCCCTGAGGAGGGGCCTTCAGAGCCGGGTGGTGCTAGGGTTGTTCTGGCCAGGCCTATTGGCTGACGAAAGGCTGGCTTGTTTACATCTTGGGCCCTAATTCCGTCAGCCTTGGGGGATCACTTCCCAGAACCATGTTGCAATTCTTGCCCCTGCAGGCTCAGGTCCCCAGTCAGCTGCTCCTGAATCACCCCCAGCCCCAGTGCAAGAGCGCTGCTCCACACCAGGGCCTAGAGGTGAAGGGCCACATGGAGATCCATCCTAATGACCTGGGGTAGGGGCGCAGTACCCAACAGCAGCCTTCTCTGCTGGGGCCCTCTGCACTCCAAGCTCCCATCCCTAGCGACCTGCAGCCCCGCTCTGGACTCCTTAAGGCAAAGCTGGAGCAGGGACCAGAGCTGTCCGGGTCATTCTCTCCATAGAGGAGTCCAAGCATTTTCATATTCCATATATAGCTTGGCTCATTTTACTTTTCAAGCTTTAGGAAAATACTCCATTGTTCTTACAATAAAGGGTGACTTTTTCCTCGACAGGGCTTTGCAGTGTGTATACCTTTCAATCAAATAGAAACTAACTTTAAGGCAATATACCAGCCTTTATATTATGAACAATTCATAACATACCTGAAATAAAATACAGTCACCAAGTCTCCACCACCACTCCCATCTCCCATTCCCTCTACTGAGAACCTTAAATGGGCCTTTAGATCCCAAGCCCTAAGTCAGATGCTGCTTGGATGGGGAGAGTGGCAGGATCCTGGCTCTGTGGCTGGATCACACCCCCCACCATCTCCAAAGGCCCCAGCTTCCCCCATCAACAGCCAGCCTCAGCCCTAGCTCCCCACCCCTGTTTGAGTTCACAGCCCCAAGAGGACAAGCCATACTGGGGCCTGGCCAGAGTTCGGGTCCAGCCTGGGAGTTCCTCCAGACCCACTGCCAGAGCCAGGCGGGGAGCTCATTGCTCTTTCCTCCCAAGCCAAGGGTGCCTGCCAGGCACCGTGGAGGAGGCAGAGGCTCCCCCTGGGCCACGTGGGGATGCTCTAAGCCACATCCCTTTCCCTACAGGCCTGGCTGCAACAGTATGGCTACCTGCCCCCTGGGGACCTGCGTACTCACACACAGCGCTCGCCTCAGTCGCTCTCAGCTGCCATCGCTGCCATGCAGAGGTTCTATGGTCTGCGAGTAACGGGCAAGGCTGATGCAGACACCATGAAGTAAGTGCTAGACCCTGGCAGGAATTCTGCCCAGCACTCACTGATGTAACCCTGAGCGCCAGAGAGGCTGCTACCTGAATGCCTGACTCCTGCCCCCATACCTCATCCCCACACACTGGTCCTGACCCTTTCCTGTTCACTCTGACCTCATAACCTTGGCCCTTCCCCATACTGACCCTGGGGCCAGACATTCCCTCTCTCTTCTGAAGACCTTTCTCTTTCTCACTATCCTGACTGCAATTTTCACCCCCCAACCCACCCCAGGGCCATGAGGCGCCCCCGCTGTGGTGTTCCAGACAAATTTGGGGCTGAGATCAAGGCCAATGTTCGAAGGAAGCGATATGCCATCCAGGGCCTCAAATGGCAGCACAACGAGATCACTTTCTGGTGAGTCCAGTAGGCAAGTGGCCTCTGTCACATCAGGTTACCCTTCCCTATCAGCTGTGCTTACAGAGATTCAGAGGCCTCCTGCCCTACTCGCCTCTGTTCCTGGAATGCGTCCTTGGGAGCAGGGAGGAAAATGGCTGTAATCCTGGAGAGGTGCAGCCTGCCAGGGGTACGCCCCAGGGCAGGAAGCCACAGCCTGAGGCTCCCCTAAGCCCTCAGTTCTTGGGGCAGAGGCATCACGAGGCAGCAGGAAGAGCTGGGTCAGGCAAAGGTGGCTGGGCGGTTCAGTCAGACCGGGGAGAGTGCAGGGAAGGAGAATTTTGCCCCTTGTTATCCTAACACACTCCCATCCTCTCCCCACATCTCTGGACCTCAGCATCCAGAATTACACCCCCAAGGTGGGTGAGTATGCCACATTCGAGGCCATCCGCAAGGCATTCCGCGTGTGGGAGAGTGCCACACCGCTGCGCTTCCGAGAGGTACCCTATGCCTACATCCGCGAGGGCCATGAGAAGCAGGCTGACATCATGATCTTCTTCGCTGAGGGCTTCCATGGTGACAGCACACCCTTTGATGGCGAGGGCGGCTTCCTCGCGCACGCCTACTTCCCAGGCCCCAACATTGGAGGGGACACCCACTTTGACTCTGCTGAGCCCTGGACTGTCCGGAATGAGGACCTGAATGGTGAGCGAGGTAGCCCTGGGACTCTTATTCCTGGGAGAGTCAACAATCATTTGTACGAGGGTTCTCCTGCCTCCTCCCAAAACCTCAAACCCCAAAATCTCAGGGCTATAAGGGACCACAAAGATCTCCTTGTCTGACTTCTAACAAAAGCAGGAATCCTGCTTTGAGCTACTTATATATGGTTCCTTGTCTCACCCAATAATTGACTTCTCAGGCAAAGACTTCAAAGCATCCACATCACCCACTTTTCTAGGCAAATGTCATGTCTAGCTCCTGGGAGAAACAGGCCTAGATAGGGCCTCAGCTTTCCTTAACACAAGTCTTCTTGGGATTGGGATCTGGCCCCAGAGCACTCTCACCTCTGCCCAGAAGAGATTGCTGACTGGTTTTGTGGCCTTTTGGGTGGAAAATATGGCAGGCAGGTGTGGGTGTGAAACTGAAGCCTCTGATGGGGAAGCTGGAAGTCTGAGGGAAGGGACCCAGGCGCCATCATAACCATCTCCATCTCTCCAGGGAATGACATCTTTCTGGTGGCTGTGCATGAGCTGGGCCATGCCCTGGGCCTCGAGCATTCCAATGATCCGTCTGCCATCATGGCGCCCTTTTACCAGTGGATGGACACAGAGAACTTCGTGCTGCCTGATGATGACCGCCGTGGCATCCAGCAACTTTATGGCAAGTAATCTATGTCCACGTCTGCTCCTTTCTCTCTGCTCCTTGTCCTCTCCTGGTCTCTCTGGCCTGTGCATTTCTTCCCCTCCTCCATGCCCTATAGTCTCGCCACATCCCCCTCCTGACCCTGCCTCCATCCACTCCCACTTGATCCCACCTTTTCTGTCCTTCCCAGCTGACTGCACAGCCTCCCCCAAAGGTCCATCCACACCTTTCCAAGGGTGTTGCCTGCCCCTCTGTGTCTGTCCTTTCCTCTCCCTCTGCCACCAAGTCTGAAGTGCCCCTTGTGTTCTCTGCCCCAGGGAGTGAGTCAGGGTCCCCAACCAAGATGCCCCCTCAACCCAGGACCACCTCCAGGCCCTCTGTCCCTGATAAGCCCAAAAACCCCACCTACGGGCCCAACATCTGTGACGGGAACTTTGACACCGTGGCCGTGCTCCGAGGGGAGATGTTTGTCTTCAAGGTGAGAGGAAGAAGTGGGCTGGTTTGGGGGAGAAAAGGGCTCTATGACTGGGAGGCTGAGTAGAAACAGCAACAGGACTCAAAACTAAAATTGAGGCAGTGAGGGAGCTTTGAGGACAGAGCCAGATGACTACGTTACAAGATATAATGTACTCTTCCCGCCTCGACTGCCTTCCAGGAGCGCTGGTTCTGGCGGGTGAGGAATAACCAAGTGATGGATGGATACCCAATGCCCATTGGCCAATTCTGGCGAGGCCTGCCTGCGTCCATCAACACTGCCTATGAGAGGAAGGATGGCAAATTTGTCTTCTTCAAAGGTAAGCAGGCATTCTGCCTTAGTCTTTGGGTGTGAGGAGGGTCTCCCTGGAAGGGCAGATTCCACTTGACTCCTTCAAAGACCACAGAGCACAAGTGGAACCCAGATCCTGCCCTTCTCTCTCCTCCCCAGGAGATAAGCACTGGGTGTTTGATGAAGCTTCCCTGGAACCTGGCTACCCTAAGCACATCAAGGAGCTGGGCCGAGGACTGCCTACTGACAAGATTGATGCTGCTCTTTTCTGGATGCCCAATGGAAAGACCTACTTCTTCCGGGGAAACAAGTATGACTTCAACCCCTTGATCCCAGGGCTCCCTCCTCAGACACCACCACCAGATTCCTTCAATTCTGGAGGAAGAGCCACTTTACTCCTGGGATGTTTCCCTGGAGAAGGAGCTAGCTGAGCTTCTGCTGTTGCCTAGCGACAGGCAGCCTCCATTGGGTGCTGAGTGAGTGGGATGTGACCGGGTCACCATTTCAGACCTGGTCATTTGACGCCTCCTGCCCCCAGCACCGTGCCTCCACCCCAGCAGCCAGGCACTGTCATTAAGGGCTGCTGGAGGCTCCTTGCAGCCTGGGCCCTCCCTCCCACCCCCACCTTCCGCCGTTTTCAGCTGCAGGCCCTCATTACTCCAAACCCCCGTCCCCCGCCCTGTCCACAGCCACCCTTTGCTCACTGGTGAAATCAGTCCTGGGTCCCGCTATCCTCTGAGGACACACCCAGTGTCTAACCCCTTCCCTTCCCCTTCTCTCCCCCAGGTACTACCGTTTCAACGAGGAGCTCAGGGCAGTGGACAGCGAGTACCCCAAAAACATCAAGGTCTGGGAAGGAATCCCTGAGTCTCCCAGAGGGTCATTCATGGGCAGCGATGAAGGTGAGAGGGGCAAAGGAGGTGTCCGTGAAGGGAGGATGGGAACAGGAGTTAAGAAAGAACAGGAGGAAGGATGGGGAGTATCAGGTGGAAAATAACGGTGGTGATAATAACAGTGGGGTTCTTGCCATATGCCAGGCACTGGGCTCAGTACTCTCCACACATCAGACCCCTTAGTCCCCACCACTCTTTCAACCTGGTACTAGAATTATCCCGTTTCATAGCTGAGAAACTGAGGCTTAGCAAGGTTAAGAGATTAACTCAACTGGCTCACACACTGAGATTGTCCTTCTGCTCTCCTCCCCTCTTTGGGTCTTCTCCTGGACGCTGCCCCACCTCTCGTCTTCCTTGCCACCCTCTTGCTGACCTCTGCAGTCTTCACTTACTTCTACAAGGGGAACAAATATTGGAAATTCAACAACCAGAAGCTGAAGGTAGAACCGGGCTACCCCAAGTCAGCCCTGCGGGACTGGATGGGCTGCCCGTCGTCAGGGGGCCGGCCGGATGAGGGGACTGAGGAGGAGACGGAGGTGATCATCATCGAGGTGGACGAGGAGGGCAGTGGGGCAGTGAGCGCAGCCGCCGTGGTGCTGCCTGTGCTGTTGCTGCTCCTGGTGCTGGCAGTGGGCCTCGCAGTCTTCTTCTTCAGACGTCATGGGACCCCCAAGCGACTGCTCTATTGCCAGCGTTCTCTGCTGGACAAGGTCTGACCCCCACCGCCGCCCGCCCACTCCTACCACAAGGACTTTGCCTCTGAAGGCCAGTGGCAGCAGGTGGTGGTGGGTGGGCTGCTCCCACCCGTCCCAAGCCCCTTCCCCTTCGCCCCTGCCTTCCTTCTTCTCTGTCCTGTGACTGGCCTCTCCCACCCTCAACCCTGCCGTTGCTTCGTCCCTAGAAGGGTCCCCTGGGGGCTGAGCAGGGGCTGCCCCTTCCAGCCCCTGCCCCTCAGGGGCCCCTTTAGCTTGGTGTGTGTCCAGCCCCATCTGAATGTCTTGGCTCTGCACTTGAAGGCAGGACCCTCAGACCTCGCTGGTAAAGGTCAAATGGGGTCATCTGCTCCTTTTCCATTCCGTGACATACCTTTAACCTCTGAACTCTGACCTCAGGAGGCTCAGGCAAGCCCCCAGGTGTACCCAATTGGCAGCCCCCACCACTCTTTCTGGCTAAAAGAAATCTAATCTTGTTGTGGGGGGAGACCCTGAGAGAGTGTGAGGGGGTGGGGGCTGCACAGCCACCCAAGACCTTGGGAGGAAAGCTCAGAGAGGGTCAGCCCTCTGCACAAAGATCTGCCTCTGTCCCACCTGCCCCCGAGACCTTCCACAGAAGGAGTCTGAGCCATTAAGGACTAAACTGGGGCTGGAAAACCCTTGACAGCCCCACCGTCCCAAATGTTAGCCTTGGATGGGGATGTTGAGGTTGGAAGAGCTGAGACTAGGGGTGCAGCTACCGGGGTGGGGTGGGACCAAAAAGAGAGAATCAGTTCCGAGCCCTGGGAGTGAGCTTGAAGGCCACAAAGAACCTTGCTCAAATGCAGGCAGCTGGGGCAGGGACCCAGGGGCAGAGCAGTCAGAGGGGACAGGACAGGACCAAAAGGTAAACAAAGGAGGTACAGTAGGGGTGGACAGCTGGGGGCCGGGCAGGCAGGCCAGCAGGGACGACACAGGGTGGGCTGTGGTACCTGGGGGGGCGGGGGGGTGACTTTTATTGGACCCCTCAGGAAGGGCCTGAGAAAGGCACACCTGCACCTCTTTGCTCTTCCTCCAACTAGGCAGCATGAAGGGGAAGGGTGGGGAGCCCAGAGAAAAGAGCAGAGATAGCAACCATCCTGGAACTGGTGACTCGGGCCCTTAATGACAGTGGCCAGCTAGTGAGGGAGCCGAGGAGGCTCCCAGCGGCCAGCAGCGCTCAGGTGGCCCGCCTCAGTGAGGGGGCCAGCTGCCTGGGTGTTTCTCGGTCAGGTTAGCCCCTCATTTCCTGATGCCCCCACCCCTCAACCCATCCTACCGGTGTCCTGTGCCACCTCGCCCCACCCAGCCCCCCTATTTGAAGTCTCCTTCGGCCACTGAAGGTGGTCATGGTACTGGGGACTTGGGAAAGTGAGAGACCCCGTGGGGGGAGTGAGAGGAGAGGGATGTCAGGGGTGGGGGGGTCTGGGGGGGTGGGAGAAAATGGGGTGAACGGTGCTGGCAGTTCGGCTAAATTTGTCTTGTTTGGGTTTTTTTGTTTTGTTTAATGTATATTTTTATTATAATTATTATATATGAATTCCCTTCAAATCGTTCCTTTTTGTTAACAAGGGGCATGGGGAGGGGTGGGGGTGGGGGGCAGAGGCATCCGACCCCAGGAACCTGCAGGGCGGGGCTGGGTCAGTGCCCTCTAAGGACATTATTGACCTTGTTCAACCTTTCCACAAAGAATAAACGGTGTTTCACATTCTTTGTGTGGCTGCAGTTGTCTTGAAGGGATGGATGGGATGTGGCGGAGAGGGCAATGAACAAGGGGAGGGCGTGCATCGTGAGCTGTGTTTTCCATGAGGTGGGGTTCTGGTAGTTTTCATAAAGGAATAGGTTTATTCTTAGTAGACGAAAGGGAGTGGGGGCCAGAGTTGGGGAGGAGGGCATACTCCATGGGGCCAGGGGAATGGTCCACAGAGCCCAGTGGCTCTCTCCCAACCTGGCCCAAGAGGCCACCCCTGAGGCCCTGGGGGCAGAGGCAAGAGGAAGTGGTCAAGCTGCAACCTCTTGGAAAATCTTCCTAGATTGCATTACCCTGTCATGTGACTGGCCACAGACCCTCAGTTTCCTCAGACCTCTCTGCCTGCTGCCACGGGGGATTCCCAGGATCACACCAGACTCAGATTCAGACTTGGTGGCAGGCCCTTCAGCCCAGCCCTCAGGATCTAAGCCTTTTCCAGGCATGGGGCTCTGCTGCTGGGGCAGAAGGAACAGAGGAGGAAAGAGGAAGAGGTTGCCCCATGGCCAATTAGGAGCAGCCTATCTCTGGCAAAACAGCAATCTCACCATTGGCCCAGGAGAGCCAGGATGGTCAGGTTGGAAGGGCAGAATAACAAGGCTTTGTTTCCTCTTTCCTTAGAAACTGCTGCTCCAGACAGGGTTCCCAGGCTGGTCGGCCCACCCTTCCTCCGAAACCAGCCTGGAGGGAGGAATCGCTTGGTTGCTGAGTCAGCTCAGCTGGAGGAGAGCAGCCCTCTTCCTCCCCCCTTCCCTTCCCGCCTCAGCCCAGCCCACCCTGGGCTCCAGCCCAGGTCCCCTCCACAGCCTGCCTCCAAGAGCCTTGGCCCCACCTAGGCCAGTCGTTCCATCCAGCTGCTATCCAGGGCTGGTTGGTGTGATTGCTTTGGCAGAAGGGGTACCCCACCTTCCTGCCAGCCAGGAACCCTGACCCTATGCCTGGCCTCCTGCACCTTTCCTGCCAACAGCTGTTTGGCAGGGCCTGTGTGTCTCAGTGGAGTTGGACACCACTTTCCCGCCACCCTCACTGGAGGAGATGGGGACCCTGAGAAGCCGGCACAGGGAAGTTGGGGGTGTCTGGGGGTGGTGGGGCCCGTGCGTGTGGCAAGGAGCTCAAAGATGAGCTCATGGCCCCTTTGTGTTTTTGTGGCCCACATCTGGAGGCAATTACAGATGTTATCCAGTGGGAGTTCTGCAAAACACAGCTGGAGCCAGTGGAAGAGCCTGGGGAGGGGGGACTGCCAGAGGGAAGAGGAGGGGGAGCCCAGGGCTCCCGTGGCTGGAGTGCGGTTTCCCCATCACGAGGAAATTGTTTGGCCCTGATTCTGGAATCACAAGATGCTCTCTGAAGCCAAGGGGGAGAGATGGAAATGGAGGACCAGAGACAAAGGGGGAAGAGGTGGAAGAGACTTCACAAGCAGGGAGAATTGCGGGGTGGAGGCTGCAAGGTCCCGTGCTTCTGACGAGCCTCTGGCCTGAGAGATCCAGCCCAGCGAGGCTGCCTGGCGACCCTGGGAGGTGCCTTAGTGATCACAACTGAGTGAACCACCGGGTCAGGCTGAGGTGAGGGGAGAGCGGAGGGCCCTGTGGCTCCCGAGAGACCTGGAAACACCGCTTTCACTGGCCCTATCCTGCTTTGTCCATTGGGCCTGACCCAGTTTCTATGGTTCCAAGTTCCTTTATTCGAAAGCAGCACATGTGAGTGAGAGCAGCCAGGAGGGAGCCAAGGGGAATCTGCAAGGAGGTTTGGGCAGAGCCCAGGGAAGCAGGCTCTGAGGAGACTGGACTGGGGGCAAGCGCTGAGGAGAGGCAGTGCTCTGCCCACCACTGCACCCACACGTTCAGAGGGGGGAGCCATGGACTCCCTTGTCATCTCCTCCCTTCTCCAGGGCTCCTGTCACCAGCTGGGCCCATGCCTCCAAGGCTGCCAGCCAGGCGCTGGGTCAGCAGGGTGGAAAGGGAAGGGAAGGGAAGATCTAAGAGGAGCTGGGCCCTCTAGAGGAGAGAGAAATGGGCAGAGTAACCCCCACACACACAATCTGGCCAGGGTGCTGGGGCTTCACTGGCCCTCCCCCAGGGCCCCTTCTCCCCACAATCTGATGGACTTCCCAGTCCTCTCTTTCCCCTCTGTATCCCTTCTTCCCTTTCCAACTAAGGGGAGGTGGCAAGAAACCAACATTTGCTGAGGTCCTCACAACACCCAATGACACAGGCATTAACATTGCCCCCATTTTACAGATGTGGAAACTGAGGCCCCATTAAGACTTGCTAAAGGCCACAGCTTGTTAGTCCAAAATTAAAACCCAATCACTTCTTGGCCTTTTGGCTAAGATCAAGTGCAAAATTAAAACCCAGGTCTGTCTGATTTTTTTTTTTTTTTCTGTACAAGCAGATTCTGACCATGTTTCTTGGGTGTCTCTTCCAGTGTGGACTCCATGTAGCTGGGTGTCTGCGTGGAAGTGTGTGTTCTGGGGATCTGTCAGCACACGTGTGCTTGCCTATCGTGCCCTGTGGCAGCATCAGCCCAGGGAGCCCGAGTGCAGGGGGAGAAGGGCTCTTCCTCAGGAATCCATCTTGCCAGCAGTCACCTCGCTCCTTGGGGGCAGGAACAGGCACTCAGGGAAGGAAGGAGGCAGCAGGACTCAGAAGCCAGAGGGACTGAGTGGGACAATGGCAGCTTCCCTGGGGAGGGATGGGGGTGAATGGCTGTGGCAAGGGCTTACAGGGGAGGGGGAGGCCTTCAGGGGCAGTTCCCATTCCCTAAGGCCCCAAGGAAACCCCACTCAAGGCTGTTCCATTGTCCTGCAGTCCCTGTACCCCCTTCCTACACAGCTCCCAAATCGAAATCACCTCCTTCAGGAGACAAATTCCTGCACACCTAGCCTGGGGGTTTCTGCCTTTCTCCCTCAGACAGTCTTGGGAGACTGGGGAGATCCAGAGGCAGCCTGTGAGGGGGCTGGGCAGCAGGGACCTGGAAGGGAGGCAGGCCTGACTGGCCAGAAGCCACCTTCCAAATGAGCTCACACACATACTTTCCACCCTGGCCCAGGGCCGATGGCTGAGCGCCTTCCAGGCCAGCCTTCCCCAGCCAGGCCCAGCCCCCTCTGTCCTCCCCTGTCCCTCACCAGTCTTGGACCCAGGGGTTCCACAACAGGATCGGGTACCCCAGGCCAGGGCTGCCACCACATCCCCAGGGAGCAGCTTCCTCTGCCTCTAGGCTGAGGCCAGGTCCCCCCAAGGTCCCTTATTCCTCCAATAGGATTTTTATGGCTTAGAGGAAGAGGAGACCAGCTTCCTGCCCCCAAGACCCACACCTGGTAGGGAGGGGCAGTAGAGAGCGCAGAAGAGGTGTCCACACGGTAGTGAATCGGCGGAAGGACTTCCTGTGAGTGCCTGAAGTAGCTCATTGACTCAGGGACCAGGCCAGGTCTGGGAGCTGCCTCACCATGGGTCACTTCCTGCTCACTCACTCCATTTCCCGCTAGGGGCACTTCCCTGATTTGGGGCAGGATGGGGTCTAGGTGATGTAAGGCCAGGCTGACCACAAAACAGGAAAGACTGGTGCCTCTGAAGGCCTAGCGGATTCACACACACGCGACAGGCTCCAGCTCATTTTGATCCAGCTTGTGGTCAAAGACGTCACCCTTCACCCGGCTTCCAGAAACATGTAGCACCAGGCCAGAGAGCAAGATCAATTCCCAAAAATGCTCTCCTTGGCGGCTCAGTGCCTGGATCTGTGCTAGGAGCATGGCTGCCATGACCGTGTATCCTGGATCCAATAATGTCTTCCTGAGGTTCTGTGAGTTTGTGTATACCCAGACATGGCAGACAATTCATCCCACTTTGGGTTACAAAAATACGGCCACTGCGAGGAGATCACACAGCAGGCTGTTGCCCTCCAAGGCCCTGATGGTATAGTTCTGTCAAGGAATGACTATGATTCATAATAATACTGACCTCATCACAGATACTGGACAAACACGTGCCATCCTCACTTGTCTTACAAGAGTAGGAGGCTGCTAGACACACAGGAGCCCCTTAATAAAAGTTTGTTGACTTGAATTGCCAGTGAAAGCTGTGATATACATAATTAAACAGCGGTAGTTGTGAATACATAAGTATTGTATACATATGTACATAAGTATTATGTATACCTAAGTTAAAAAATCATTGAGCTGTACACTTAAGCCTAGTGAATTTTATGAACTTTACTGTGTATATTTACCTCAATCTTTAAAAGGTTAAAAGAAGAAAGAAAAATATATTGAGGTAAAGAAGTTCTTAACACCAGAACAACCACTTTGTCCCTATAGGCGTCCCCATTATGTGCCAACCCTCCCCCATCCAGCCTGCCCTGAATCTGGGAGTGGTCGGTATTGGGTTGTGTTGGCTCAGCTCTTCTGGAAATACCAATCCTTCCGATTGCACCCCTGACCTGGAGGGCCCAGCAGGAAGGTCTCTCTTCCCTATTCCTCTCTAAGCTCCATGTCACTTATCCCCAAAGTCTCTCCTCCACTGTACTGGCCTGTGTTCCAGAGGTCTCCCCCACTTCATGCCTGCACCAAACTGCATGTAAGTTCTGGGCAGAGGAAAGCTGGAGAAGGGGCCTAGAGAAACACCCACCCCAGTCTCCTGGCTGGGCGCACCCCCCTCTGCAGCAAAGACCAGCTGGGCAGGGTTTGCAGGGTGGTAGCGCCCCCTTGTGCTGCGTGTTGGCACTGCAAACCAAACCCGGGGAACAGAAAGATGCAGGGGCAAAGCCAGTCCCACCAGGGCCACGGATTCCACCAGCCTGTCCCTTCCTCCTTTCCACTTTCCATGTTTCCACCCAGGACACCTGTACTTAAAGAGGTGGGACTATGGGCGCGACAGGATAACAAACTCTAGTCTTCCAGCTGCAGAGGGGGAAAAGTCAGAGTTTCCGTCGGCTGTCCCTGTGCGGGGGTTGGTGGGCAGCCTTCGAAT